ACGTACGGTGGTAAAACAATTTCCTAAAAGTCAACAAAGCAAACTCTAACGGAAACATCATCCAATCAAGCTGAATTGGTAGCACTTTATGAAGCTGGTCGATAGTGCGCATGGTTGAGATTGGTGATTGATCATATACAAGGGGCATGCAATTTGGAAGAAATATCCTATTTTTAGAAAATCTTGTTTCTTTATTTACCTAGACTTTACCTTTCTTAGTCAATGTGCCCACATCTTAGAGGGGGTGAATAATGCGTTTAAAATTTTTTTGGAGTTTAATAAAATTGTTGTTGGCAAATGCGGAAACAATGAAAATAGCGCAAAAGTAAAAAGCATAAAGTAAGAACACACCAATTTATACTGGCCGAGGAGATCTCTACTCCAGTACCTTAAGACTCCTCTTTAAGGATTTTTCAATCCGCTAAGTCTTGACCTCTTGAACTTCATCAAAACACCGTACTAGATTTTTGGCAAACAATCCTTGCTAACACAATTCGCTCAGGGATTTCACAACAGCTATCCCAAACTGCTTACAATGAAGATTTCAAGGCTATCTCTGACCTTTTCCCCCAATGATTTGAAAGGCTATCCTTAAACTTTTTAGCCAAGGATTTCTTGGCTATCCTTACCTGCCTACACAAAAATTTATACGGTTATCCTCGACTGTTACAATGAGTGAAATATGTGTCAAAAAACACAAAAATGTTCAACACCTTTTGGCCTATGATAAAAAGATCAATCCTTTGCTGGTGAAGAACAAAGATTGTACTCTCTAAAATAATACAAGATCAACCTAATGAATATGAGAGTATAAACGTATAATCACAAGCTCAATGTGTGTGTATAAAATTAGAATTTAAGAACACGAACAAAAACACACTTTAGAATATGAGAATAGGATATTAGAGCTTGGATTCTTGATTAAAATCAATAAGAATGGTTGGGTATTTATAGGATTGAATTAGGAGCCATTGATTTGAATAAAATAGTTGTTAAGAAGCTCCAAATACCATAATAAGTTGATAAAACTGTTGGAGAAATATCCAATTCAAAATATGACCGTTGTGTTAATTTCTTTTTTTATTTCTGAATTTGTATTTTTTTATTTTTAGAATCAACCTAGTCACCCTAACCATTTAAAAAAAATGGAAACTTATTGTAATTTTTTAAGCTTTAATTTTTAATTAATGCTTACCAATATTAATGTTTATTCAAATGTTACTCGAGTCACACGCAATTTCTATTTCCGAATTTGTAATTTTTTTATTGAAATATTTGCACTAAATAGCACTAAAACTTAAGTTATTTCTCTAAATAGTACTTAAATTATTTTATTCCCTAAATAACACTTAATAATGTCCATAATGACCAGTGATGGCAAACATTCACTTAAATAATGACTAATGGATAATGACTAAAAGTGCTACATTGAGAAAAAATCACATGTAGTACTATTTAGAGAAAGTCATTATGTTTTAGTGCTATTTACGTAAATTCCTCTTTTTTATTTTCGGAATCAGCCTAGTCAGTTTAGCCTTTTAATAAAAATGGAAACTTATTGGTACATACGCTATATTTTTTTGTATTCTCCCCACAAAAAAATGGAAACATAATAATTTTTAATTAATGCTTACCAATATTAACGCTTATTTACATATTACTTGACTAACACGCACTTTTTATATACTCCGTATTACTTTGATATTTTTTAAAGTTAATTTTTTTTAAATACATTTCTGATTTTGTAATTCTTTTATTTTTTTGAATACGCTTTTAGCCCTTCAATAAAAATGAAAACTTATTGGTACGCTTTTAGCTATAAAGTTAATTTTTTTTGTAATAATATTTTTTTATTAAAGCTTACCAATATTAACGCTTATAAATATGTTACTCAAGTAACACACACTTTCTATATATTACTTAGATATTTTCTTTAGATTTAATTTTTTTCTATTTCCGAATTTGTAATTTTTTTATTTTCGTAAATACGCTATTAGCCTTTTATTAAAAATAGAAACTTATTGGTACGCTACAATTTTTTTGTATTCTCCCAACCAAAAAATGGAAACATCATCATCTCTCCGTCCTAAAATGTTCTTCCCAATTATTTTTCACACGGTCAAACTTTAATAACTTTCTTTACCTATTTTCATTAGATATTTGACAAAATAATATTGTCTTGTCACCACTTGTTTTGTAGAACTTTTGATGTAGTTTTTAAATTTATAAATTTTATTTTTAAATTTTACACCTACAGTCAAATAAATTAAATTGAAAATAAAATTGGTCAAACCTCGTAAACACAAACGAGAAGAACATTATAGGACAGAGGGATACACACTTAACGGAGGGAGTAATTTTTAATTAATGCTTACAAATATTAATGCTTATTCACATGTTACTCGAGTAATACGCACTTTCTATATATTACTTTGACATTTTTTTAAACTTAATTTCTTTTTCTATTTACGAATTTGTAATTTTTTCATAAATATGCTATTTATATTTTTATTCTCCCAACCAAAAAATGGAAACATAATAATTTTCAATTAACGCTTATTCACATGTTACTCGAGTAACACACACTTTCTATATTAGTTTGACATTTTCTTTTCTATTCCTGAATATGTAATTTTTTTGTAAATACGCAATTAGCCTTTTAATAAAAATGAAAACTTATTGGTACGTTATAAATATTTTTTTGTATTCTCCCAACCAAAAATGGAAACATAATAGTTTTTAGTTAATGCTTACCAATACTAATGCTTATTCACATGTTAACACACTTTCTATATATTACTTTGACATTTTTTTAAATTTAATTTTCTTTTCTATTTCTGATTTTGTAATTTTTTTCGTAAGTACGCTATATTTTTTTTGTATTCTCCCAACCAAAAAAAGGAAACATAATAATTCATAATTAATGCTTGTCAACATTAATGCCTTACATGTTACTCGAGTAACATATACTTTCTATATACTCCGTATTAATTTGACATTTTTTTGTATTCTCCCAACCAAAGAATGGTAATCTAGTATTTATTAAGTAATGCACGGCTATACTAATGCATAGAATAAATGCAATGGAGTAACATACACAAAACTTTTCATATTTTTCTCTCACATTTGGGAATGAAAAATATTCCCCTCACTTTAAATAAAGTATAGATATTATTCCTTTTTTTCTCTTTCTTCTCAACAAATCTCACTCACTATTTTTTACTCTTTAACATATTCCCTTCATCCCTTTGAATCTTCCTAGTTTGACTTTCGAAGTTTAGTTGCACAATATGAAAAAAAATTAAATTATGATATAAATTTAATATCAATAAGTTCATTTGATACATAATTTTATAATATTACATTTTTATAATATATATCTATAAATAAGATAATAGCATGGATTTCACTCGTGGTTTACAAAAGGACACCAAAACTCCTCATTACTTTTTAAAATTGCTTGTAAAACCCTCATGGTTTCCAAATAGTGCACAAACATCCCTTACCTAGTTAAGATAATACTTATACTCTTTCTTTTCTTCTATCTTTGAGTTTCACTCTTTTATTTTTATTTTCCCTTCATTATACAAACAAATAAAATATAAGTCCTCCATCTCAAATTAAAAGTTTTCATTTATTTACTTTTCAAAACACAAGATTATTTGGATAATGTTACAAAAGAAATTAAATGAAAAATAGAAAAATGAAATGGAATTTTTTTATTTTAAGTGAAAGTAGAACAAAAAATAAAAAAATAGGTAAAATATACTCACTCCATCTTGAATTAAACATTTTAAATTATTTCTTTTTCAAAATTAAAATAAATTTTTTGGGACCTTAACAAATGAAGAACAAAAACATGAAATAAAATATAGAGTAAAAGAAAAAATATCATTTTTTATTTTTTATTTCTTTTTCATTTCCTTTTTCACTTATTTTTCTTTTACTTCATACAAAATATCTTATTTTATTTTGTCTATTTTTCATTTTCTTTTGTGTTGTTCTCTACAAAAATTATTTTGTTTTGGATAATAACTAAATGAAATTTCTTAATTTGAGATGGAAAGTGTATACTTTATTTTATTTATTTTAAAAACAAAGAAAAGTGAAAATAAAAGGTTTAACTTCATGATAGAATGAAAGCAGGGGTATAAATGTTAATTTAACTCTGGAAATAAGTTAGGACGGCGTGTTGCACCATTTAAAAATCATGCAATTTTACAAATAATTTTTAAAATAAAGGAGATTTTGGTGCCGCTTATGTAAATCATGAATTTGCTGGGAAGGGGCACACATGCTATTAGCTCATATATAAATAAAGATATTGATAGTCAAAATTTTATATTGAAGATCTTGAAAAGTAAAATATGAAGATTCAAAAAAGACATGGGGAGTATTTCTTGAATTTCATTAAAATCAAATTGTTCGAATTAAATCATGACGAAGGAAGTACTTTTCAAAATGATGAGTCTTATCCCCGAGGGCTCCTGAGAATCAAACGAAAAGTCATCTTCAAGAAATAAATTGAACTACAATTAAAACTTACAAGCAAATAGTGGGAGCCTGCACATGATAACATAATTGTATCTCAACCCAATTGATAGGAATCAAATTTGAATTAATCCATTTTGATACTCAATATTCAACCAGCTAAGATACACTTACCATGGTGTAAAAAAGTATTTTGTAAAGTTAAATGGAAGTGCCCTAAGGGTCCATTTGGAAAGGGGGGAAATGAGTAAAACGAGTTCCGGAAAATGACTTCCAGAAAATGAGGTATTCTGCCAAAGTCGTTTTCCTATTTGTTGTTGTTTGGCTACCATGAACGGAAAATAAAATTAACTCAGACTTTGAGATGGGGATAACTATTTGCGCTTCAAGATCCAAAACTCACCCTTCCATATCCGTTCATCTGCTCCGTGGGAAAAAGGCAATTTATGTTTGAGAAGCAACTACTTCGCTCTAATCTGTGAGGAGCACTCACAATTTCATAGACGGCGGTAATTTGCGTTGGATTTGTGGGAATTGCGGTGTTGATTTTTGATGGAGAAGCGCAGACTCCGATCTGAATTTGCAAATTCCGGCATAGATGCAATTTTTTCCATGACGATATTTGAAAATGGAGACGGAAGAGGTGCGGGGGTGTGCACAACATAAGGAAGAAGGCGGAAATCAACTTTCGAAAAAAGGCATAAGTCAAATTTCGGATTTTGGAGTTTATTTTCCGGTTGGCCCCCTCTTATTTTCATTTGACTTTATTCCAGAAAATGACTTACAAACAAACCCTAAATGGAGGGCAAATTATATTATACATGCGGTTGTACCCAATTTTGGGTACAACCAAGAAATTATTTATCGTATGAATTTTATTTTACATGAGAATGAACACTATGTTATTTGAGAATGAGTATTGTTTTGTTTCAGAATGAACACTAAATTATTTATAGATAAATATTATAATTATATTGAACCAATATGTGAAAATGAATACTCTATTAATTTAGAATGAATATCACGCTAATTATATTTGTCCGATAATGACTACTTCTCTACTTCAGAATGAATATTACGACCTATTTCTAGGTACATGCAATTGTACCGTGTACATTCTCCTAAATGGAGTTAAAGGATGGAATGAAGGTGCCCTAAATGAGACAAAGGATGAAGTGATTGAGGTGGTGCATGACTGTTGGGGTGGTGCATCTTGATATCCACTTCCCTTTCTCCCCCATTCAATTCTCCTTATTAAGCCTCTCTTCAATTCCTTCTTCATCTTTCACTTCATCACATTCTCCAACCCCTCTCTCTCTCTCTCTCTAGGGTTGCTGTTCATCGATTCTTGGGAGGAATTGAATCGCAGCCTTTCCATTTCGCATTCATCAACAGATGCATATGGTTGCGATCGGGTTTTATTTTCTCTGTGATGATGATTCGTTCGAATCTCTGTGATTGATTTATGGTAAAGAATACATCTTTTTTTTCTGTTTTTTTTTTGTTTTGATTTGAGTAGTGGACGGTGAAGCTGAGTGTTTCCGGCGAGAAATCATGACGTCTACTGTTCCGGCCAAGTCTCAGCCGCTTCACAACTTCGCCTTGCCGCACTTGAAGTGGAAGAAGAACCACCATTCCAATAATCACCACCGCGGCCGCTCCGCCAAGCACTTGGAATCGGCGGCTTCTCCGTCCCGGGTCGCTTCCCCTCTGCGGCAGTCTCAGTCGCCACTCATACACCGAGTCCGGTCTCCGGATGTTGAATCCGTGACGCCGATGCTGGTCCGCCTCCAGTCTCCGATGCTGGAGCGAGATCGCCAGTCACAGATGCGCGATTCTGCTAGTGAATCGAGTAAGAGGAGTTTCGCTGCGGAGATGGATGGGATTGGCCAGAAAGATGGCAGATCGAAATTAGTTCTGAAGCTCCCTCGGAAAAACAGGGGCGATGAGATTCAGGAGGAGCCAAAGGGCGAAGAGGTTCCAGAGGAGGGGAAATCCGGCGCAGATGCAGATCAGGAAGCATCCGAAGAGCCAGTCCAAAAGATTTGGAATCTGAGGCCGAGGAAGCCGATACACAAGTCACTGAATTTGAACGGCGTCCAGTTCAAAGCAGGGGGGCCGTCGGCCACCATAGAGGACACGACTCAGTCGCCTCACCGGACTCCAATCAGACCGGATGCCGAGGTTCACTGCGCAGAGAAGAAGGAGAAGAGGCAGAGGTTTTCCATTGCACTCACAAAGGAAGAGATTGCAGAAGATATTTTTGCCCTGACTGGATTAAAGCCCGCAAGGAGGCCGAAGAAGAGAGCCAAATGTGTTCAGAAACAACTTGATGTATGAATATTTTCTTCTTCTTCTTCTTCTTCTTCTTTCCATATTTCATTTTTTCTCTTACTGAGTGTTATCATTTTCTTCATGATCTGATCTATATTTACTGTTTCTGTTACTACAGACTCTTTTTCCTGGTTTATGGCTGGCTTCAATCACTCCTGATTCATATAAAGTCTCTGAAAACAATCCAAAGGTATATAATGTTTCCTGGGTGTGTTTGTTTTTTTGGTCTTTCTCTGTTTGTTCAATGTGTTGTGCCTGGCTCTAACTCTTGAAAAACCACTTTCTTCTTGCAGGGTTAGTAGAGGGCATTGTTCAGCAGAGGTATTGTTCAAAGGGTCTTTGGGATTTAGAAGACCTGACAAATTTTGGGGATCTCATATGCTGGTTTAATCAACTATTACATGTAAAGAAAAACAAGAGAGAAACTTTTCTTCTTTCATTCATAGCTTCTTCTTTTTCTTCTTTTTTTTAAAAATTATCTCAGGTAAAAGGAAAATAATTTTGCTTCTTTTATACTTTACTGATAGCTGCACAGCCTGCAGATGTACATAAGGATATTGAATATATTTAATGAAGGTCATCTTTCAAATGTTTATACCCTCTTGAAAAAAACATTCTTTCTCTAACTTCCTCATTTGTCTGATATTTCTTTCATTTAAATTAGTTCTGCTTGAGGTTGAGGGTGATCACCCCACCCCACCTTCTACTTCTGCTTGCTGATGTTTGTTGCTTCTTGCTACTACCTGATTGTTCTCTTGTAAGATTATTGGAGTCTGGTGTTGTTGCAAGTCTCTTTAGACAGATGGTACCGGTTTCGAACAATGGGACTCTTGAATCACTGCTTGTTTGATGACCACATTGTGGGATATGAGGAGACTTGCTTGGATTTGATGTCTATGGAGGGGGTATGTTATGCTAGGCTTTGGTCATGGGTAAGGGCTTGTTCTCCTCACCTGATCTGCTCCTGATTTGATTGGAATAAGTTCTGATCTGGTCGATGCTAGGCTTTGGTCATGGGTAAGGGCTTGTCCTAAATGTGCATTGTCAGTGGACTGGCAGTGTCTACTTGAACGCTAATGGAAGAAGCATGACACTGCTTATATAGAGACCGGTGCTTCTTGTATTGGGTGCTCCTCGGGTGTCGGTCGATGCGTAGAGGTCGGGTGGGGTTCGGTGCCCTAGTAGAGGGTTAGGTGGTGTAGATTTTGACAGTTGGAGTGGAGGGTTTTCTCCCCTAGATGCCAGATGAAAGATTTTGCCGTCAGCAAGTCTTCTAGAATTCTCGAGATTGAATCTTTGAGGTTTAAATTTTGAAAAATGTTAAAAATTTATCAATTTTAACACTAGTATTGATGCCATCAAATTATTTCCCGTTGATTCTAGGGTCGAATCCCAGTAGTGGCAGTGTGAAGGTTTTATTATTTGTAATAATTCTTTGTGCGCATTAGGGGTGTGTAAAAAAAATTGAATTAGCATGATACCATCGTAATGGTATCAAACTGTTTATAATGTTTTTAAATGAAATTGATTTTTTTCATCACGAACCAAAACCGAACCGATATCAAACGGGTCGGGACTGTGATAAAAAAATTTAAAACCGATAATCACGGATCAAACCGTTCATTGAAAAAAATCTATTTTTTTTATTTAGACTCAATATCTTTTATTTTTTATGCTTATGATCATTTTAAATTCAAAATTAATACTTCTATTTAACAAACTTGTGTTTTTTTACATAATTACTACTCCCTCCGTCCCTAAATATTCACAACGTTTGCTTTTTCAGCAGTCGCGGGAACTTTTATTTATTTCGATGTTTTCATTGGTTATTTGATAAACTAAAATATTCTTGACACCTCTTATATCGAAGAACTTTTCATGTAGTTTTTTGATATGTAATTTTTATTTTTTATTTTTTTACCAATATGTAAATAAAATGAATTAAAAAAACTTGTTATTTTGCCTCGGTAATAGAAATGTAACAAATAATCTGGGACGGAGGAAGTAGTTTTCTACCCCGTGCTTCGCACGGGCTCATGATGTGTTCACGTGTCTATTAATTAAGATTATCATAGTTAGACTTTTTTGGTAAAACTATGTAACATTTTGATTATAAATTAAATACAATTTTAAATAATCAAATATCATAAAAATTTGATATATGAAAGCAATATTTTAAATGGACACAATTTTTATACATTTATACACTTTGTGGTCAGAGTATAGAACAACTTGACCAAAATATCAAATTGTTATTAAATGATATACTAATGAAAATTGATTTAACTAATGACAAACTAAAATTAAAATGCCAAATAAATTAAGGTAATGATAAATCATTGAAAAATACAAATGCGGTATATGGCCTATAGATATGCTATGTGTTATACTTCAATAAAAACAAATTAATTTAATTTAATTTGTTGAAATGATATATAGCAAATTAAATAATGCTACAAATAAAATTATGAAATAAAATAAGTATATAGTTAGTAAATATATAGTTAATAAAATATAGTTATTTGGTAAAATAAAAATATAAAATAAATGGTGGATTTATATGTGTGTGTGTGTGTGCGCGCGCGCATGCATGTATGTATATGTATATATAATGTTAGTTCTTTTTCAGACTTTGCATGTTTTCTAATATTCTATATCTAAAAAATAAAATATTATTTATTTTAATTCTTTAATATGATATATGAAGTTTATAAAAACCCAATAAAAATAAATATGCATTGATGACATCACTTGTGGTATCACATGTGGCATGGTGTGCACACGTCACATGAAATGTTTTATACAAACTAAATGATCACTGAAAAAATAATAAATAAATAATTTTTTATTAAAAAATTCAAATAACAAATTTCAAATGAATCATTTAAGTAATGGCACATAATGAGAAAATACATATATGACATACAACGCATATCATCTTTCAACTGTAACTTTGTTTTGTTTAGTTTATTGAAAAAAATACACCATATACTAAAATATACTCATACTTCGTAGTATGTAATAGGATATAAAGTTTGAAATAATTTTGTATTTAATAAATATTTATATGTGATAAAAATGTTATAATACTGCTTTGAAATTTTAATAACAATAGATATTTTTGCTCAATAATAATAGTTATTTAGTGCAAGAAAGTGAAGTCATTTAATGTACAAAATTGAAGGTTTTTCATGAAACTTTAATAATAATAAATATATGCATGCGGCATGACACACGCCAAGGTGTAATGCACACGTGACCTAAAACTTTTATACAAATGTAATGGTCATCAAATAAAATAATAATGAAAATTGTTTTAACTAATAAAAATTAAAATAAAAATATCAATTAAATCAATTAAATAATGACACATCATTAGAGAATGCATATCTGTCATGTGCCACATGTAATCCATCAATTAAACTTTCACTTTGTTTAGTTTGCTAAAAAATATATAATAAAATAAGACAAAAAATTAAAATATGTTATGAAGTTAATAAAGATGCATGTGTGATAAAAATTATATATAATAGTTTCATTTGAGACGTTGGATAATTTTCAAAATTATAAGAAACATTTTTTCTTAATTAATAAATTTTATATAATTATTTTAATATTATAAAAATTGTCACACATATTTAAAAAAATATTTCTAAAATAGTTAGAAAGTGAAAATTTAATAAAAATAATAAAAATAAGGTTTTTTATTGTTGGAAAGTGAAGGGTTAATATTCCTTCTCCGTTATCCTCTTCTTCTTCTTCTTTTTTTCTTCGTTTCTTCTTCTTCTTCTTCTTTTCTACGTTTCTTCTTCTTCTTCTTTTCTTCGTTTCTTCTTCTTCTTCTTTTCTTCTTTTCTTTTTCTTCTTTTCTTCTTCTTTCTCCAGCCTTCCAGTGACCTCCATTCCTCCCCCCCCCCCACCCCCGTTTTTTTTCTTCTTTTACCTTTTGTTTTTTTCTTCTTCTATTATAATTATTATTATTTGTTATTAATTATTATAATTACTTCATAATTATTATTTTCTTATTCTATTATTATTATTAATTTTTGAGAAATTTATTTAAATAGGACTAAAACATAATGACTTTTCCAATATAGGACCATATTTTTTATTTTTCAACGTAGGACTTTTGGTCATTATCAAGTAGTCATTATTCAAGTAAATGTCTATCATTACTCGACATTATTCCTCCACGAGGTCATTATTAAGTCCTATTTAGGGAATAAAAAAGTTTAAGTCCTACATTGGGAAATTCATTATGTTTTAGTCCTATTTAGTGCAAATTTTACTTAATTTTTTAATTTATTATTATTACTATTATTATTAAAAATTAATTGTTAGTTTTACCACTCTTTTCTATAAAAACACTAATTGTTATTTAGAAAATTAGCACTTATTATAAAATAACACTTATTATTAATACTATTATTTATTTTAAGCAATTATTTAGTAATTTTACTTATGTACTTTTTTATAGAAATACCACTAGTTATTATTATTACTTCATATTAATTACTCCTCTGTTCTAGAGTATTTGTCTACTTTTGTTTTTTTCAGTCAAAATTGATAAAATTTAACCCTAAATTAAAAAAATAATATTAAATATTTATACAAAAATAGTTTTATTAGATTTAATATATAAAATATTTTCAAAATATTACTTTATCGAATTAATATACAATATATGTTTTATTTAATTATAGGTCAAAAATTAAAAACAATTGATTAAAAAAGTCAAAACCTGACATATGCTCCGAGACAGAGATAATATTATGTATTTCCTATTATTTTCTTAATTATTATTAAAAATTAATTGCAGAGTAGTAATTTTATTACTCTAGTTTTAAGAAATACGGAGTAACAATCATTATTATTTAGAAAAATAGTACTCCGCATTAGTCATTGATAGTCGCCATTGGTAGTGGTGTCACGGTAAATCAAGAAAACAAGAGGACTTGAGAAAAGAATAAGATGAATAAGTACCTCTAGATTTTTGTAAAGATAATATGAAACAATAAAAATAGTGTTAAATTTAATATTATTATGAATTACGACGTATAATTTATAACCAAGTGAATAATTAATTTTAATTTTATAAATGATACATAAATATATTACTAAAATTAATTTTCAATTAAAGCTTTAGAGTAGTAAAACTAATAAAAAAAGTTAGAGTAGTAAAAATACTAATTAAATAAAATAATAATAATAAATAGTTATTATAATAATAAAAAATAATAAAATAACAATACCTAATAAAATATGAAGTAATAATAATAACTAGCGGTATTTTTATAAAACAGTACAGAAGTAAAATTACTAATCAATTGCTTAAAATAAATAATAGTATTAATAATAAGTGTTATTTTATAATAAGTGCTATTTTTCTAAATAACAATTGGTGTTTTTATAGAAAAGAGTGGTAA